GTGTTTTGTCTACTCATGGGTTCTATTTCATCGTGGTTTATGTTTAATCATTGGTTTTGTCTATTTAGGTGTCTTGTGTTTTGTCTACTCATGGGTTCTGTCTCATCGTGGTTTATGTTTAATCATTGGTTTTGTCTATTTAGGTGTCTTGTGTTTTGTCTACTCATGGGTTCTGTCTCATCATGGTTTATGTTTAATCATTGGTTTTGTCTATTTAGGTGTCTTGTGTTTTGTCTACTCATGGGTTCTGTTTCATCATGGTTTATGTTTAATCATTGGTTTTGTCTATTTAGGTGTCTTGTGTTTTGTCTACTCATGGGTTCTGTCTCATCATGGTTTATGTTTAATCATCGGTTTTGTCTATTTATGTGTCTTGTGTTTTGTCTACTCATGGGTTCTGTTTCATCATGGTTTATGTTTCACGTTTTAATCATTGGTTTTGTCTATTTATGTGTCTTGTGTTTTGTCTACTGGTTTATGTTTAATCATTTATGGGTTCTGTTCTCATCATGGTTTATGTTGAATCATTGGTTTTGTCTATTTATGTGTCTTGTGTTTTGTCTACTCATGGGTTCTGTCTCATCATGGTTTATGTTGAATCATTGGTTTTGTCTATTTATGTGTCTTGTGTTTTGTCTACTCATGGGTTCTGTCTCATCATGGTTTATGTTGAATCATTGGTTTTGTCTATTTATGTGTCTTGTGTTTTGTCTACTCTGTCTCATCATGGGTTCATTGGTTTTGTCTATTTATGGTTTATGGTTGTTTCTCATCATGGTTTATGTTGCATCATTGGTTTTGTCTATTTATGTGTCTTGTGTTTTGTCTACTCATGGGTTCTGTCTCATCATGGTTTATGTTTAATCATTGGTTTTGTCTATTTATGTGTCTTGTGTTTTGTCTACTCATGGGTTCTGTTTCATCATGGTTTATGTTTAATCATTGGTTTTGTCTATTTATGTGTCTTGTGTTTTGTCTACTCATGGGTTCTGTTTCATCGTGGTTTATGTTTAATCATTGGTTTTGTCTATTTATGTGTCTTGTTTATGTTGGTTTTGTCTATTTATGTCTTGTGTTTTTGTCTACTCATGTTCTGTTTCATCATGGTTTATGCTTGAATCATTGGTTTTGTCATTTATGTGTCTTGTGTTTTGTCTACTCATGGGTTCTCATCATGGTTTATGTTGAATCATTGGTTTTGTCTATTTATGTGTCTTGTGTTTTGTCTACTCATGGGTTCTGTTTCATCATGGTTTATGTTGAATCATTGGTTTTGTCTATTTATGTGTCTTGTGTTTTGTCTACTCATGGGTTCTGTTTCATCATGGTTTATGTTCATTGGTTTTGTCTATTTATCTTGTGTTTTGTCTACTCATTTCTGTCTCATCATGGTTTATGTTTAATCATTGGTTTTGTCTATTTATGTGTCTTGTGTTTTGTCTACTCATGGGTTCTGTTTCATCATGGTTTATGTTTAATCATTGGTTTTGTCTATTTATGTGTCTTGTGTTTTGTCTACTCATGGGTTCTGTTTCATCATGGTTTATGTTTAATCATTGGTTTTGTCTATTTATGTGTCTTGTGTTTTGTCTACTCATGGGTTCTGTTTCATCATGGTTTATGTTGCATCATTGGTTTTGTCTATTTATGTGTCTTGTGTTTTGTCTACTCATGGGTTCTGTTTCATCATGGTTTATGTTGAATCATTGGTTTTGTCTATTTATGTGTCTTGTGTTTTGTCTACTCATGGGCTCTGTTTCATCATGGTTTATGTTGAATCATTGGTTTTGTCTATTTATGTGTCTTGTGTTTTGTCTACTCATGGGTTCTGTCTCATCATGGTTTATGTTGAATCATTGGTTTTGTCTATTTATGTGTCTTGTGTTTTGTTTCATGGGTTCTGTTTCATCATGGTTTATGTTGAATCATTGGTTTTGTCTATTTATGTGTCTTGTGTTTTGTCTACTCATGGGCTCTGTCTCATCATGGTTTATGTTGAATCATTGGTTTTGTCTACTTTATGTGTCTTGTGTTTTTATGTCTACTCATAGGTTCTGTTTCATCATGGTTTATGTTTAATCATTGGTTTTGTCTATTTATGTGTCTTGTGTTTTGTCTACTCATGGGTTCTGTCTCATCATGGTTTATGTTGAATCATTGGTTTTGTCTATTTATGTGTCTTGTGTTTTGTCTACTCATGGGTTCTGTCTCATCATGGTTTATGTTGAATCATTGGTTTTGTCTATTTATGTGTCTTGTGTTTTGTCTACTCATGGGTTCTGTCTCATCATGGTTTATGTTTAATCATTGGTTTTGTCTATTTATGTGTCTTGTGTTTTGTCTACTCATAGGTTCTGTTTCATCAAGGTTTATGTTTAATCATTGGCTTTGTCTATTTAGGTGTCTTGTGTTTTGTCTACTCATGGGTCCTGCTTGACAAGGGTACAAGAATCTGTATCGAAATGTTGCACTGACAAAATAAAGAAGTTGTTATACATAAAGGTTGTCTATATTGTACTATATTGTATATTCAACTTCTAAAATGCCACAAAATAAGTTATGGAAATAGTTATGCAAAACCAACACATCTTGTGCAGGAAACAATGAAAAAACAATTTATAAAAAGGTAGTGCAAATTCATCATGAAACACAGTTGCATAGCTTATGAACAATGAATACCCAATCAACAAATAACTTTAACATAAAATATCAATTATACCATATCGTTCAGTAATCTTTGCCATCAGTGTATTGCCTTTAGGTAACGTACAGGTGCAAAGCATTGCTGGTCTAACGACTTGATTGTCTGGTGTAATCCTCTTAATGTCTTACAGCAGTGTAAGTGTATTTATGCCTGCAGCTCATACTAACTAATCACCATTGTTCAACATGAACAAGACACATTTAGAACAAGGCCAACACCCATACAACTCAAAGGTATGGAATCACCCATTCCCTGCTGTTAATTGTTTATATTTAAAGCATAACAAAGATCAGTTTAAAAAATAATTCAAAATTATGACACTACGCTTCATATTTATTTAAATATCCAAACCAATTGTCAAGAAGTGCATAAATTGTTTGGTTTGGATGCATTAAAGTAACTAAATAAACATAAAATGATCCAAATTTATAATTGTTCTTTCGTTTCCTCTGTTACATCTTTCACACAAATTTATGAGTTGTGGGTTTGAATCCAAGTTTGCCCCAGTTCTGTTTCTAGGTTTGTCACCTCCAAACCCATGCTTGTGGATTTCACCCAAATGGTAAATATCTGAGACCTGCATTGTTTTATGGTTCCTCCCACATCAAAGTGACAATCCTCGACATAACTGGCATACTGGTCACAGTAGTGTTAAAGCCAACTCATTCACTCACACTAACGTCCTCTAAGCCTTCATTAAAGGCATAACATTTTTTACCGCAAACATGTAGTGAAAAAAGAATGAATTCTGATCATTTGATTGTCAAAATAACTGAAAAATGGAAAATTAAATCAATTTCAAACTCTAGTTTACATGGTTACAGAATTATCGGACAAAATATCCTAATTTGTCTTAATCTCCTTGATGGCTGTATGGTAGCTCACTGCCCAGACTAACATCAGGTGATATGAAACAGATCTATCTCGTTAGTCAGAAAGTTACCTTCCAGGTACTGTAGGGGTTATAAATAGAAAATGAAATGAATAGAAAAGGGGCTTAAACACATTAGGAATTATGGTCCATCACACTAATTAGCACCCTTGTCAGACTAATGAATGGTCGCCCATTCACCTTGTGCTAAAACTGCACATACTGGTGGGACTCCAATTTTTGAATATTAAACAAAAACAATAATAAAAAGACTGGAGTAGGCTCACTCACAATTCATGAGAGAGTTTAGTTTTACGCCGCTTTTAGCAATATTCCAGCAATATCAAGGCTGAGGGACACCAGAAATGGGCTCCACACCCAGATCTTTAGCATGACGAACGAACGCTTTAACCACTAGGCTACCCCACCGACCCTACAATTCATGATTTTCTCATCTTAAACTCTCACAGAACAAAATAGAAAATCTGCTTGTTACAGGTCCTCAGTTCCTGTGGTGATTTCAGGTTACAAAAGTCACCAATGCTTGCAATACAAATGTATATGGCAGCTGAACACTGTGATTTGGATAAATGCGAGTCATCATACCTGACAGTCATGGATGGTGCTCTTTACATCAACCACTGGTTTGTCTGGCAGAGATTTAGTTATTATATGCTGATATAATGCAACTAGATAGCCTGATATAGCTTGAATATTGTCAAGTGTGGCATTTGTGATATCAGTGAAATACTGTTTTTCAAGCAGGGTTTATCCTTGTGCACTCTCTTATCTGGGTATTAATGTTCCGCTACATCAGCAAATGTTAATTATTGTGATACTAGGCTTACAGTAACTTACACTAGTCTGAAGACACACTAAAATGGATCGTGTAGTCATGCTTGGTAACTTGGGCCCACTTGCACAAGTGGTTCTTAGCACTACGACGACCTTAAGTCAATGGTACAGTTTGGAGTTATGACCATTGACCATCGTAGCGCTTAGATCGCTTTGTGCAAGTACTGCTTGGTCAGTTGGATGTCATCCTACCGTGATGGTGACATATTGTGTTCATAGTATCAACCACCAGTTTGACCCGATTATATCAGCCTGCCCTGATATACCATATGTAATATAGTTGACTACTATTAAACAGTCACTCCCTCACTCACTCACTTACTTAGTCATCCACCCAACCCACCTAACCATATATCCACTAGTGAGTGAGTGAGTTGGGTTTTACACTGCCTTTAGCAATAGTCCACCAATATCACGGCTGGGGACACCAGAAATGGGCTTCATAGATTGTACCCATGTGGGGAATTGAACCTAGGTCTTCTGCATGACAAGCGAACGCTTTAACCACTAGGCCACCCCACTGCCCCCATCCATCCACTAACCCAACAACATACTGACACAAGACTGTAGTGTATTTCATTCTTTTAATCATGCTTCTTCATGGTGTTCACAAATTCCACATTACTTGTGTGCACAAGAAGCCAGGTGCTTATAGGAAATAATATCAGTATATAACAATCATAATACAAAAATAACAGAATACAACACAAACAGTAACATTGCACAAAACAATAAATCCACATTTCATCAGCAGGCTGTTAAATACAGCCACCTTGTTTAAACAAAACTTGTGGTTTATGGACTTCCAAGTTCTTCTCCTGAAATATGCTTCTGATGAATTTTGGTCAAAGTGACTACATTGCTCAATTTAGTTAACATGCATGTCTCTGATCTGAGAACATTTGTTTGAGTTTGATGTGAGTTTGAAATATATGATCTTACTCCTTTATCATAGTAAATATCAAGGTTTCTACCATTGTTAATCACCTCAGGTATTACTCACAGTTCACCTGCCACAAAATAAGACTCCGTTCAATGAATGGAGGTTTTGACATTGTTGTTAATTTTACACATCATAATTTTAGTTTGCAGTGACAAAACTGTATTCCTTGAGGGTTTTCAGTTTAGGATGAAACATAGTTCATTTTTGAATATTTCAAATGTTTACACAAGACAATGCTGAGACCAGTAGGCCATATGTATTTTATATCCACAAAATGTTGAGGCTTATCCTCAAACCCTTTGTTGTTAAAAGAATTTTATAATTCTTAGTAAATAAAACATTAAAACATTTGAGTTTTTAAATCAACTCATATGTATTTGTTCATGCTCTACCCCAAGAAAATCAGTTAAACAAGGAATGTTTTTGCCAAGCTGTAATATCCATCTGTAATATGCTTAAGACAAACATCCTATCACTGATCCCATTTGACTGACCTCTCTGTTACCTATCAATTACATACCTCAGTAGGTATCAGATTCAGATAAACTGCATGTCACATGGCTCCAAAGTTCAGCTGACAGGTCATCTATATTTCATAGCCTCAAACCATGGTCGTGTCTACCAATAAAAACTATACTAACTAGACTTAGATAGATATGTGATTACAGTTCGTGTCTAAATTATCTTATATAGGATCTACTTTGCCCCTTGTGTTTAGGCTTCTCCTGACATTCCCAACAAATTTGCATGGTCAATATATCATTGAAAATATTGTATCTATTTAAATATTACAGATTACTGCCTAATGTATCTAACAATCCTGACCTATCAAGAGAGAATAGCAATATGGTTACTGATTCCGAGAAAAGAAAATCAACAATTAATTATATGAATAGGAAGATAATATTTTACATAAGCTTGAAATATCCTACACTCAAGTCAAATATACAAAACAGTTTGCAATTTTAAAATCAAAACATTTTCATTTAGCAATGAATTTTTCAACCTTGTTCAAAGAAAATGAGAAAATCTCCCATAAAGGGTTTCATTATGATTGTTTATTCAGAGAGTTCACAAATCATGAAAAGGGAATAAATCTAATGATAACACTTATATATAAAATCAAACTTAAGACCTGACCTGAAGAGGTGAGAGTTCACAAGGATCACGAGGTCAGCAGTGATGGAGAGATTGTGACATGGAGACATCACCTTCAGTTTGCTTTATGAGTGATAAACAATGACCTTATTGGTATTCTCACCTGTCAGTACCGGGTCAATCTGAGCCTGTATTAGTGGGTTAAGTAATGTTTTAATCTGACTGGTTCACGAGTCGTTGTCATCTACTTGTGCTTAGCTTACAACAGGACTCTCCATCCTTTTTGTCATCACACCGTGAAGTCTATATGCTCTCTTTTTACATTATGAAGTAAGATCTTAAGGAAATCTGCCATTTTTAAAACATACAAACATATGAAAACAAGTATGCTTTTTGTGTGTGACTGGGATGAAATGAAATCGTTATTTTAATATTCTGTGAATAATTTATTGTGAAATATCAAATTCTTATTGATTTAATTCACAAACTTCAAAAACAACAATACAGACAATGTATAAAGTAGCTTGAAGGATAGGTGCATCTTTCTCGTGATTGCTGGAAAATGTTATCTTATAACCATAGTAAATTTTAAGTTTTAATGCATCTGTTCTATTTGTTTTCTGAGGCCAGACTAATTCCTGTTCTTGTTTTATGGTTTTGATCACTATAAAAAATGAAATATATATGTGATAAATATAAAGGATCTGTTGGGATGATTTGAAAATTTCCTTTACAAACAATTCTTTAAATAAAGTTTTAACAAACATGGTAAAGTATGGTAAATTTTTCCAGTATCAATCAATCAGAATTTGTTGTAGAAATTATTACTTTTTCAAAATCTAGGAAAGTTGTACCTGTAAAACAAGAAAATAAATGGTCTGGCCTGATGCTCCTACTGTTTCACAGCATACATAAACATGAACTAATCAATTAGTAAATTCCAATATCATCTTGGTACAAAACCTGAGACGTATAATCAACATAATCAGCTTCCGACACAAACAGCAGTAACAGAACAGGTAGACAATCTCTACACTGATACACCTGTACAATTGCATCATTAACAGCATAGAAACATAAATAGAACAATTTCAAAACTGTGAATAATTAACAAATGCAGTAAACATGAAAATGAACTTCTCGCTGTGCATACAAAGTAATGACTTGTAGAGAATATTTCTAAACCTGACTTCTGTTTGCTTCATATCTTACTTGATGGTGTAAAAAAATATTTGTTCTTTTACAATGAAGTTTGAACATAGATCCTAGATTCAGATATGAATGATGAAGTTGCAGTTAAAATGATTATAAATTAGATGAATTTCCTGATTTTCAAACTCGGAAATGTACAAATATGTTCATGTGTCTGTTTCTTTAAGACCATCAGTATACTAAGAGATGTTGCACATCATGTTAGAATATATTTCCTAGAGCTCTGTGCATATGTACACATATGTACACAATGTACAGATTGTGTTTATGCTAAACAGATGTACATATTAAATACTAAATATCACCCATATCACACATATAATAACTCATTCACACAGTTTCTGACTTTAATTTTTCAAAATGAAAAATCTGAGTAAATGCATTTTTCGGACAACCCAAGGCAGGTTTAAGGCTTTTTGACTTTGGTAAAAAAAACATGTATTTGACAAAAATAAATGGATTTGTTGTAGGAAAAACTTGGAATTTTGGAAAATCTTGGCTGTAAGATTTCCTCCAAATTACATATTTTCATATATTTCTCCATACAAACATTGTCTTGCATCTTGTCACACTTAATATCATACATCAAAATTGTGCCACATTCAAATGATGAGCTCTAAACTATCATCACTTTCATTGTCCGAGTTGGTCATCCCACAATTACTGGAACTAAATGTTTCTTGCGGTAGTGCACTGTCTTCTGATTCACTGCACACATACCAAGGTGCCTCTGGGGTTATTTTCAAAACATTGTCCACAAATACCTCATCACTCATCGGTTTTCCTTGACGTCTGTATCTATCATTGGTCACTTTCACTATATTGTCCAGAAAGACTTCATCACTATCACCAATATATGCCTGATTCTCGTATATGTTTTCCTTTTTGCTCCTTGATGGACATTTCAAAAGACTCATCATGGGAACATAGTCGTTTTCATAGTCAGGCTGACCTACACCGGAATCGGTGCTCGATTTTGATTTGTCATTTTGCATTGCACGAATATTCATAACACCAACTTGTGTCTGTGATTGAATGATGATTGTCTTTTTATGGGGATCCACAGTACTGAGGTGGTCACTCTGAGGTTTACTTCCAGTCACAGAACAGTCTGATACACTTATTTTAGAAGAAGGGGAATGAGATGTCTTTCGGGTCCTATGAGGTCTGACACAAGACTGAGTCTCAGATTCACTGTCCGTCACCTGGCACACACGTCTTGCTTCACGACGGCCTTTGTTTTTGGCCTTCACGAATTGTCCTTGTTGAGGGCCAGTATTGGCCATTGTGCTGCCCATATTGTGATAGGTAGGTTTGACACTTGCCTCTTTCTTGAGTTGAGCCTCGTTGAGGCTTTCCTGTACAATCTGATCACAAATATCAAACAATGGAGCTTGATGTTTCCCATCAGGGTTCGGACTTGGGACAGCTCCAATCCTTTTATTCCATTTTTCGAAACTTTCCGTCACAAGTTTGTCTGTGCTGGCCAGTGTCCAAGCAGGAGCCCTCTTTCCGTGTTTGCGTGATTTACATTTACCCTGAACAGATCTCTCCTCCTCTGAAGCATTTGGTGTGTGGAGGGCAGTGGGCCTCCTGAACCAGTTCATGTACTTCTCCTTTACAGATTCTGATAAACTCTCCTGTCTGTTTACCTTGGATCGTTGAGAATGAACGCCTGCCATTTTCTTCTGAGTAGTTTTGGGACAACGGCAGTAATATTCACTTTCACTATCACTTACAACAGGTCTGTGCCTGCTGAGATCTGTCACAGGAAGTTTGGACCACACAAGCGTATTGTCAGTAGTATATCCATCGGAATACCAGTTATGGTCATCTCTGAGAAGCGACCTACAGGATGGAAGATTGGGATATGGGTGATGGTCATCAGAATTCAGTTGAGAAATACTGTCCCAGGTGTCTGTGAGGAGGCATGTCTGGCTGGCCGATCGGCCTGGAGGAGGTATCCATCTTGGACTTCCAACGGAGAGACTGGACTCACTCAGCATGTGGTCATCATGTCGCCTTGGACTCAGTGATGCTGGGATAGAACTAGCATCGTCATCATCAAGGATGTCCTCATCTGCACTGATGTATCGTCTGTGCATGTACATTCCTACAGACTGGAAACTCACCACAGACCTCTTCTCAACATCCAAATGATCGGGATCTCTAATGAAAGATGTGTTGGATTCTTCTGATATTGTTCCCGGCTTGTAGAAACCTGATCGAACTGTTCCAATAGACTTCACATCAATTTCTGAAGCAGAATCTAGCAAGCTGTCCTGGAGTAGGTTCTTGTAATAGTGACCATTATATATAGCATCATTGTACTGGCTGTACCAACCAGCACTGAATGGTCTTTGTAATTTCAGTTTATGTTTAACACACAGACTTAGCTTACAGTTGATGCAGCTGTCCTTCACACAGACCAGTGTCTTGGCGTCTGAGGGTACATCAGAGATGCTGACGTATGGAAGAACCTGTAGTAGATTGTTAGGGAGACGATAGCAACAAAGAAGCATGATGCTGTGATGAAGACAAGGAGATACCGATACCCTTCTTCTCCTGCTGCATCTTGAACCATCCAGATGAGACAGAGAGTGGCATTCTCCAGGAACATAATGATGTAAAACATCACATATCGGAACATGGAGCTCTGATTGCTGAAGTTGATGAAGGCAAAGATGTACATATAAGCAACAAGGACACGGAATGATATCGTGTAAACTTTGCTGCCATTTGATTCATTGATTGCACTGAAGACGGATGTACACACACAAACAAGCATTGTCACCCAATGGAGTCCGATCACTAAAAACAACCACTGTGAATACAATGTCGCGAAAAGTGACAGGGATATTATTCTGGCTGCAATTTCACCTGCACGCCACAAAAGTCGAAAAATGGATCCTGGCCAGGTTAGAACAATATTTTCAGTGTCACAGGTTTCATGCTGTCTACGAAAACTCCCCAAGGCCCACGTTGTCGAAACTAGAGTGGATCCTGCTGCTAGGTACAGTATCCAGTAAGCGGGGAACGATATGTTCTCCAGGACAAGGTAGCATTGTACCAACATCAATGGAAATCCTGATGCAAAAGCAAAAGTCAATCGTAACAAAAACAATTCAGCCATTTCCGCTTTTTTCACCAGAACATCCCTTTCTCTCAACACGGTAAAATGTCTCCATATAAATCCCATTTGAATGATATGAAGAAATGCCATAATGATAGCTTCACAGGTGGTTAGACTATCTCCTCTTCTGTTGAGGAGCAATATGGCTGAGAGTAACTGTACAAGCACAAGGGGTATCAGTAGTATCCCCATTACAAGACTGAACCAGCTCTCCTGTGTTGTGACACTGATCCACAGAAAGTAAGCCAGCATTGTGTTCGTAACCAGCTCTGCCAAGTGTGTCAGGAGAGACAGCACAATGTAAAACACAAAGCACCCTGTAAGACATTTGTTTCCCATTTTTAGTGATTTGTCGAAACAGATCAGATCTTCTTGTTCAGGGTCAAAGTTGAAGGACACTAATCCCACTTTTACATTCTTCTTGACATCTCTCGAGTTATATGAAGGTCACCATTTTCCGCTTACGTAGAGGCCTTAAGTTTGACGGGACGTTAATCCACTTGTGATTCCTCCTTGGATTGCAGGCTTAAGACTTTTTCTCCATAAAGTGTAATTTCACAGGAGACATGAGGATGAGTGAGATTTGGAAATATCTCCAATTAGTTCAAGCATCAAACAGCAAAGATCTAAATTCAAAATCAAACAGAATATATCTTTTTAGACCTCTGATTAACATGTTCAATTGACATGAAATCCTTGTGATGACATTGCACATGTTTCCCAAAGATCAAAGTGACCCATGTCCACACTGCGGTCAGTCCTTATTCACACATTCAGGTTTCAACAGTGCACGTCTCCTCTTAGCCAAGCTCTTGAGGAGCAGACGTCTTTGGTCCTGACATATCTTGACTCCAGACTATTGTAAATCCTTGAAGAGGAGATGATTAGTTGTAAATCCTAACATGAAAGAAGTTGTTCAGCCTTCATCACACATATTTAAACACCTACTTCTTTCATAGCAAAGCATCTTCTCAAGGCAGCAGCAAAAAATCACAAGCAGACGTCAACAGGTTCAAAGACCAGCCAGCGATTTCTGCTTGTCATCTCACATGCATTTCAAACACTGTTCATACAATCCAGCCATACAAGCATAGACTTGGTCCAGGCTATCCGTCTCAGAAAGTATCTAATCCCGTCAATGTGTCCGCTGACGAGGTTATTATCGGCCAATCGGGATTAACTCAAGCTTTTTCTTCCACATCAGAGAGCAGGCTGTACCTCGTTTGCACAATACCACTGTGTTTGTTCCCTCAGGCCGGATTAGTCGTTACAACTGCGGACAGAAAATAATGAAAGTATTAATCCAAATTAGGAATGTATTTTGTTCAGTACACGCTATCACGCAGTATTCATGTTGCTGAGGGTGTAAGCCACGATTATTATACAGCCTTATCCATGCTGACTCATACTGTATATTTAAATGCTCTCTCAGGTGGGGTCGAGTGAAAGTATTAAAAACACTCAAGGTTATCCTTCACTGATCTCCTAAAGAGTAACATTATATGTGCAAACACTAAAAGCCTTTAGAGCTGATGACATACAATATACCATCTAAGGGCAGAAATGTATGGATTTTTTTCTTCAAATTATGTGTTCTTGTACAAGTGAAACTTACAAAAGGGCATGTTTAGAGTAGCTATTGTTGAAAGGATGTGTTTAAAGTTCATACAACCTATGTTTAATCACATACTTCTGTGTTGAGTAATATTTAGGTCAGAGATATGAACTGAAAACATGTCTGGATAGTGTCATTGGGATATTTGATTCATGTACCTTTTAAGATGTGAACTATTTCAGTGTAGATTCCTGACGGATCTATTCACTACAATGGGATATGATTTCAAAGAATAAATACATACTTTGTTGTTCACATTATGTTTGAGCATAAACAAGACTGTCAACATAATATTTAAATATTTGAAAGACCATTATGAAACTCCATGTTGTCTTATTAAGTATAATTTAATCTAATCACTAGAGATGTAATGAAGACTCAAGTAAATGTTGATCCTATTTGTTCTGCAGATGAACATTTGATGTAAGAGAGTGGAACATGTACACAGTCAGGTTTTCTGTAAAATGTATCTCTGAAAAATATCAACAGCTTCAGAAGCTTGGGCATGATTAGCCATTATTCTGAAATGTATGAGATCAGGGAATATCTACCAGTATATATCTAGGGAACAGAACTTTCATGTCATTGATATAAGAAATAGAAACAATTAAAAACCCACCTCATTAATGGAATACATACTGAGAGAAACAAATAAAGGATCACAGGAAAATGCAAGCGTTCCTTTAATATTTTCCAGTTTCATCACCAGCTTTGAATAGCGCTGTGGTGATGAAACTGGAAAATAATAAAGGAACGCTTGGCATTTTCCTGTGATTTCCTTTATTTGTTTCTCTCATGTATATAATAGATATGAAGTTCATAAACATCAGAAAATGTTAAGCTTAAACACAAATGATATTGACCATTTCAAAAGACAGTCTGTTTCGATTTCTACGAAGAAGACAACTGCATTTTCAACCAAGCCAGATGAAAAGAAACCAAAAATGCAGAAAAAAGCACTTACTGAGATGCCATCAAACAGAACACTGATATCTGAAACAACACACTTGCACTTCAGCTGCTAAGAAATCCTCCCACAATAGAACCACCATCCATTGTCCTTGTCTCAAAAACACCCAAACAAGTGTCAGATACTGAACCCAGATCACACAAAAGAATTCCACTACATTTCTTTTGCAGCCATATCTATTCAACCGATGTTGATGGTTCATAAACAGCAACGGATAGTCAATGAGAAATAGACGATAGTCAATGAGAAATAGACCATAGTCAATGAGAAATAGACGAGCAGCTTAGTCGTCAGCTGGTGCCATTTATCACATGCCTGGTGCTATTTATCACATGCCTATCAAAAATGTGCTGGTTCAATGACAAGTAAATGAGAAATATGAGCAATCCCATGCCTCGTTACCTGCTCCTAGTGTACATATGCTTCAAGCAGTAGTATGTGCAGCTGAAATGAGAGACGGCCTACTGTCCACTACGCTCCATGACAGATGAGTACACGTTGACAATGAGGGCTGATTGACAGGCTACGTACATACAATGGTAACAACTTGGTCAGGGTTGTTGGTCTGTGTGTTTCTCTTTTTCCACCTAATGAATCCATCAATGATATCCATATTAACTCATCAATCATCAAATGCATACATATCTGTCAGCGGGAACTGTCAACAAGATTGTTGATACTTAAACTTGGGAATATTGGTTGTTTTTTTAACAGCAGTCTCATATTAAGTTTCATGCTGCAATAGTATTCATTTAAGGTTTTCAAAAAGTCTGTACAGTGAAGCCCCGTTAGTCCGGACCCTGATAATCCGGATGTCTCGCCTCCCGGACGATTTCAGCTTGTTACCAATCTAATTTGCCTCGATAATCCGGAAATTTCTATAAATCTTCTAAGCTAATATTTTACCTAATACAGTTTATTTAGATAGGGATCTGTAATGTATTTCAACTGCTGGGGGGACTCAGGAAAGGGTCAACAAAATGATACGGTAGGAGAAGGTAATAAAAAAGACACAAATATTTGTGGAGATTCATGTAACAACAGACACTGTAAAGAAAAATAAAAAGTTTTCTTGCAGTCTTTTCAAGATGCAGTCATAAAAAATATAAACAGACATGGGAGTGTCACCCTTCAATATGACAAGCATAAGGGGGGAGTCTTTTTTTCTCCCAGTACATTACTACATCAGAAACATCTGATCCAGCACATATGTCTGTTAAAAATGTATGGTCCTTTACATGGACAATCTTTATGTTTATTTTTCATATACAAAAAGTTTCATGAATAATATATGCTGGAAAAGTAAAATCATGTTAAATTAACTACTCCCTGTAAAATTAATTCTGTCATAAAAATTTAACATATGCATAGATGTATTATATGGTCTCTGATGATAGGTACTTCACCAAGTCTGATAATAGAATATACATGTACTCTGCCTTTTGAAGTTGGTTCCTGATTAGACTGAGTGAAGCTGATTTCTCTGTACACCATCATATTGATGGAATACTGCTAGCCAATGTAACACACAATTCATTCACTCGCTGTGCTGATGCTGACAGACTTTATTGAATAAACATTCAAAATAAATACGATATTAAAAATTTCAAATGCAACATAATATCAAATCAAAGAAAAGAGAAAAGCCTGTGTCAATATTTTTCAAAACCTCAAAGCCTATCCATTGTTAAAGACAAGGTTACCTGACAAACTCTGATCGTTGAAACACCACGAAGTTCACCAAACAAGAGTGCACATTCACAGAACAGACTGAATATAGTTTCTCCCCTGCTGAGAACTAACATATTTCATGAAGGTAGAACCATCACACATTCACTGTCCGCATAAATCCAAATCCTCGAACGAAATAATCCTCTGCGCGGAACACTGAAATTTCACGTACTCCCTTGTAAGGCCCTTTAAGCCTACTGTGGCTAACTCAATATTCAGGCAATAAGACTCCAAGTGCTCAGCAGAGCGTGCTTGGGATCCCTTCCCTGAATCGGGAGACATTCCGACACTGACCAACCAGACCTGGTCATGTGACACAGGGTCACAGAGGGTATAATACCATGGTTGTTACTGTCAACTTGTGAAAAAAGGGCTTGTTCATTGTGAGCGAAACATTTTAATGGAAAGTCAATATTTCTGTTTCAGCTTTAACTATTCTAATTAATTTCTACTTTGACTATTTTGTGAAATAAATTGGATTTCCATATCGTTTCATGTTTCAAAGAGCACAGGTAAAAATTTAGGAAAAGTATATAATTAACCTTTTCCCAATACTGTCGTACAGCATGAACTCCTTTGTCAGCAGAATATCTTGAAATTTGAAAATATATTATAATAGTGTTAAAACTGTCAATAGTAAAACAGATTTAAATTCATGAATCTGATCTAGATCCTTCTAAAGAGTAGTAGGTCTGATTTCAAAAAAATACAGACCCGACATTATCCTACTTAATCCAAGAGAGGGAGTGAGTTTAGTTTTACGCCGCACTCAGCAATATTTCAGCTATATGGCAGCGGTCTGTAAATAATTGAGTCTGAATCAGATAATCCAGTGATCAACAGCATGAGCATCAATCTACAATTGAGAACTGACATGTGTCAACCAAGTCAGCGAGCCTGACCATCTGATCCCGTTAGTCGCCTCTTACGACAAGCATGGGTTACTAAAGATCAATTCTAACCAGGATCTTCACGGGTCTAATCCAAGAGAAAACAGACTACTTAAGTTATGTGACTCGCCCTCTGGTGAGAATCATTGATCATTTCAATGTATATTGCATAATGACAATCCAGTGATTGATGTCATGAATATTCATCTTTGCACCTTTGACATGCATCAACCAAGTCAGCTAACCTAAATCACCTCTTATGACAAGCACCTGTTGCAGAAGACCAATTTTAACCTGTATCTTCACAGGTAGGTGGTTTATGGAGTAATAAACAAATCTGAATACTGGCACTAGAACACATTAATCTTTTCTCAAAGCAAGTGAGAGAGGAAGTGGATATCAGCAAATCAGGAACTGCAACTACTCTCAAAACATGCCACTGCCTCAAATGTACAATGGAAGTGGACGTGAAACTGCCCACTGTGGTCAGCTACCAGTCAAACAGAAAAATCAACGGTCAAATCTGATTGTTGATAGTGCTCTCTGACTGTTGATCCTTTCACAGGTGTTATGTGGGACATTCTTTAAATTCCACAACACTTTACAGTTATCAAGAAATGGAATGCTGGAATTCTGTCTTGCATCCACACTCCTTTTACCAATCTTTCATATATTTACAGCTATTGTACTGTCGAAAAATAACAAGAGTGTCACCAGAATCATTTAAATTCCTTTTAGCCATAAAGCAAGATTTCATCAGGGTTAGAAATATCTTTCACATAGAGCCTTTGAACAGCATTTAGTAGTGATACACATGAAGGCAAGTCTTTATGGATGTCAACTTCATTATTTTGAGGGAAACGACGTTTGAAGTACCGGTATATTCTTACTCCTTTCACATGTTCATTTGTCTGCCAAATTATCAGCTGCAATCTACCCAATGGTAAAAGTAGTTACTGACAATAGAAATTCACCCACCATCACTGCTTCATCAGAATTACCAGTCGTGGACTATCACATTTTTGTTGATTTAAAAAAACTGTGGGCATTGCAAAGTTATTTGGGGT